TTCTGCAAAGAAGAAAGTACTGAATTTAAAGCTGTAGTAATTTTTTAGTGTTTTGCATTTAAAAAGATTAATAAATTAAGAAGTTTGTGAAAAGTTAAATAACTTGAAAAATTTTAATGGAACATCCTATTTTTTATTTTTGCATCTAATAGAATGATAAAAATGTAAACTTTTAATGTCTAGAATTGATAAATGAAAAGATATTTAACATTCAATATTAATTGTAGCAACAATACCTGTCAATATATGAGCATTGTTGATACTATGGCAACCATATAGTAATTCCACCACAGATCACTTATTCCTTAATTTATCCAGAGATTGTAAAAGTCGTTATAAATACTGAAATTAGAATTATTTTAATGTAAAAATAAAGAATAATTTATTCAATTTAACATAAATGTGATTATTAAGTGATATTTCTTCCATCTCTTGTGCAACTGTGCACTTTTTGGCTACTGAAACAATAGTAATTATTTTTTTTAATGTTTAACCTTCAAAATCTTTTTAGTTATTATTAGTTAGTGATTATTATAAACACCTAAAAGTAATAATTTTAGAAAGACAATTTCATAATCTTTAAATGCAAATACAATAAATAGGGTGTTCCATTTAATTTTTTTAAGTTATTGAACTTTTAACAAACGCCTTCACTTTTTTATCTTTGCAAATGCAACACACTAAAAAAATGCGGTAGTAAAAAATATTTCTATGTCTTAGTTTTTGTGTAATAAATTTTTTAAAAGTGCATGTTTTCGTCAAAAAACCGTCTTATTTTTAAAACTAAGCAAAACCGACCCATAAAAGGTTAGTTTAAAAACATTATCATAAAAATCTACATCCAATAACGCTAAAAAACATAAGGTGTTTCATTTAAAAAATACACAAGTTTGTATTGTAACTTATTTTTGAGACACGCTGTATAGTTGAAAATAATTTTAGGCGATGGACTAGATTCGTATCTATCAATGTCCTATATAATTTTTTTAAATTTTACCATTTATAGGTCACTAATGGACTTTTTCGACTCCTGAGACACCCTGTATTTGAGAAATGAGATTCGAGATTTGCGAATGTAAAAATTAAAATAGAAATAACGTAACAGAAATTGCAAAAATAAGAATTAGAAAAATGGAATTGAAGAAGTACAAGCTTTAAAAAAATAATGCAAAAACTAAATAAAAATTCTAAAATAGTAACTAAGTACACATAACTTATAGTTTCTATCATAAATCAATTAAATTAAATCATAAATTAATAAATAAAGAAAGCAATCCAATTGGTTGTTTCACCTATATTAAAAAGTTTTTAGTTCAATTTGGTATTTATATGGCTTAGGTATCAGAAAACAGTAAATAAAAAACTTATTGAAAATTTATTACAACACAATTATATATTTCAAAACTTTCTTTAGACATTACAGATAGCAGTTAGCAGTTAGCTTAAGAAATAGAATATGTTTTATAGATCAACATTTTTTTACATTTGCCCCAACTAATTTTTTTAAGTTTATTTTACTTTCTTCTAGTTTCCAATTGCACAGGCTAGCAAATTTCAAATTTTTGAATATTTTTGAAAGTTTTATTACTGATTTCTATGTACATTCTGATTCTGATTTCAAAAACTGCATAAATAACAAAAAAATTACTAAATCTATTTAATGAAATCAAAATCAACGGTCTTTTACAAAAATTTGTTTTAAACTTTGACATGAGCTGAAAAAATACTTCAAAGGAAGTGAAATCCGTATTTCAACTGTTGAAACCGGAAATTGAGTAGATGTATCCGGTTTTCGTAATTACTAGCCTAAAGGGTATGTTCTCGCAAGTAACTATTCCAAATTTTATAATATTGGGTCAAATGGTTCCAAAGTTATTACAAAAAAAATCAATTTCCATACCCACATTTCGAGGGCTGTAAAATTCTTATCAATAGAGATCGGACACGAGTTATTATTTAAATTAACATAATTTTATAGGTCATTTTTGAGGTTCAAATATCGCTTTATATTTATGAATAACCCAGTATAACACCCTCCAATAATAATAAATATTCAGTAATATAAAAATACGTACCAATAATAAATAACATTCTTGCGTAGGGGTCACACCAAGACTGAATATTCTTTAAATTTAATATTAAATATGTTGTTTTAATAATTTTCATTACGGTTACTGAGCGTTTATATTTTTACTGTGCAAAAAGTATTTAAATCCTGATCATTCATCATTTTATACTGATCAAAATTGAATTATTTACTCATCGCTTTATTACTACCCAGAATTAATTAAAGATCTGCTCTAAAAGTCGAAATTTGCCCTAATTAATTTTAATCGCTCGCCTAATAAGTCCATTTCCATGTAAACAGAGGAAACGCGTTAGAATTTAAATATTCCGACGATAATATTTCAGCTATTCCCGTTTTATTTTTATGTCAGCGCCTTATCTCACTTTCAAACTTTCCGTAATTATTATTTTCAGCGATAGCATCGCCGTATTTATAAAATCGTGTTTATGTTTCGACGGATTTTATTTTTAATCAAATAACTTTCACACTTTTCGCGGTGCTTGAGCTTAATGCGCGTCGAGAGGTGAACACTCCGATGATTGCCTGAAAATTGCCACAGCCCCCCAGTCGGGTATTTATAAATGAGCGGCTTTCAGCGCGATTCTAATGCGTTTCAGCGTAAACACCCTTTCAGCGGGGCGATTATTAATCGTTTCAATTTGTTGTTCCAGGACCGGACATTCCCGGATTCCTCCTGCAGCCCTTCAGGAAACCAAAGAGAATACGGACGGCGTTCAGTCCGTCGCAACTGCTCAAACTCGAGCACGCTTTCGAGAAAAATCACTATGTCGTAGGTGCGGAACGAAAGCAGCTTGCACAGTCGTTATCGTTGACTGAAACTCAGGTAATTAGCTTTTTTTTTTAACAAAAATTTGGTGTTTGTCTGGTTTATTTGCCGATTGATCTCATATTGCTGTGTAATGAGCTATTTAGTAATTATGATTGAAAATATCAAGTAGGCTGGAATTCCAGATAACGATAATTATTAATTAATATTAATTGCAATCCCATTGATTATTAATTTTATAACATCAAATAAATTAACTCTGATTGATAAGAAAACATAAAATAATTTCATTTTATTGCTTTTCATTACATTTTATTATTGGATAATTTAACTCGACACACTTTGTTGTTTTTATTATTTTATTTCTCTTAATTTTTTAATTGTAGTATTTTTATGTTGGTAAATTATCTAAGGCCACAAGTGTGAAAAAAACTAAAATCAATAAATAAATAATACACAAATTATTATACAGAGTGATTTGTTTTTATGGTTACAAATTTAAACGGTGATAGAATATACAATTTTAAGACAAAAGTTTTCTACAAAAAATATTATTATGTAAGGGAGCTACACGCCTCTTGATGGATTTTCTTATATTTTGCAAACCATTATAGATAAAATTTCAAAATATTATGTATGGTAACTTTCATACCACTAAACGAATTCAAAATTCAAAATTTTTAATCAAGAGTGTCCAATGTAAAAAGTACCCTGATTATTTTGTCTTAAATTTTTGTATTAAAATTAAATATTCCAACACCTATTTAAATATGTAACAATAAAAACAAAACACTATATA